CGGGGGCTTGTTCTCTTGACGGTCTGGCTGCCGTGGGGTCGATGTGAGGACGGATTCTTCGGTGGTGGTGGCTGGGGTCTGTGGGGTCGACGCTCTCCCGGCGATTAAGGTGATGCCGGGAAGAGTCCGAATCGTACAGAAGACCGTGTATGGCGCCAGGAGTATCAGTACGGTGGATTCTGTCTGGAATACGCCGGTTACTTGTAATCCGATATCTGGGTCAAGGAGCTCTATCCAGGAACGCAGTTTTTTTGTTGCTTCCGAGGCAGGGTCTTCTAGGAAGTGACAAGAGAAAAGGACCTTAGTAGGGACCTTCATTGACAGTGGGAGGGGGGCTGGTGGCTGCGGTAAATTGGCGTGTGCCCGACATGGAAACTTGACTCGTATAGACACGGAACCTGACAGGAGCTTGTGGACGGGGAATTTCGCGGATGAGAGGCTGTAAGCCGAGTCAAGGAGCTCTGCGAAGTCGACTGATCGTGCTTTGCCTTGAGCAATAGCTGCAGCATTAGCTAACTTGGCAGTGAAGGTTCGTTTTTGGTTCTGTCCGGCCGAGGTACCAAACGCCGTTTTCTGCTCAGGGACGGCGGCTAGGAGTTCGAAGGTACCATCTACTCGAACAGTGAGTCCCGCAGATCCTACCTCGCAACTGTCTATAATAAATACGGCGTCCATAGACACGTCGGATTGCTGAGAGTGTATCGACACAGCTTCTGTAAGTGTGTTGAAGGTAAAGAACGGCTTTGATTGAGGATTAGCATTAAACCATAGTCCTTGTTGTGGCCCGTTGGCCCCATGTCCTGAGTAATGGATGATCACTAAATAGCGACCAAATTGTGGGTCGAGGCATTTCTGTAGTCCATCCAGAAGGTGTTCGCGGATCTTGCTCATAATAGTCCACCCGGGAGTTCTATCACTAGCTAAGAGAACGCACTCCTCGACGGAATCGATGCCTAGCGCTCGAACAAGACTTTTAAAGTTAGGAAGATCTTGTTCTGCACCTGTGTTGTCTTCCTCAAACCTGATTGCGAAGGCACTCAGACGTTGGTAGTAGCGCTGTCTTTGGTGGACATATTGTTCTAGGGTTCCCTGGATTTCCGCCGCACTTGCGACCTGTTGGGTATCATCCATGTCTTCCAAGTTGAAGTGATAAACCGTCATAACAAGGTTGTTCAAACGATTCACCCACAGGGCGTCTTGTTGAAGAGCCTTGAAAACTCGT